TTTATGTTAAGGTCTAGCACTCTTGCAATATCCGGTGCAGGACAACCATAATTCATATAGAGTTTGCTTCTTGGATGGGCTATATGTTGATGTCACTACACATCTGTGGTTTGCATTTCCAAGCAGTTCCACTGTTCCTCAAATAACTGCGCTTATCAAAAAGTAAAGGGTGAAGCCTGCATGGTTTTTGATTTAATGAAACACATCTGTTATGTTCCAAAACTTCTCCCCAAAAAGTAGGTAGTTAAGATTCTTTATTTATTTGGCCATGAAAAATGACTTAATTTTATGAGCTTTTGGGCTAGGGACAGACATTACACAAACTGGTTTAAGTGATCAGAAGCTGGTTTAAACATGTAACAGAACAGATGTTCAGTGCACATAAACCAGTTTCAAAATGGCTGAAACCAGTTTGAGATAAACCTGGCTGAATGTAGTATCAGACTTAACTGATTTGGGTCAAACTGGTTTATGCAATGTCTGTCCCAGACCCCCTACTGGTTTAAGTTAAATCAGAGTCCCCCAGCATCCCAGCATGCTCTCTGGGCTGGGCAGAGCTCTCTGCTCCACAGCAGGGCTGGCCCCTCCCTGGCCAGAGCTCCAGCAGAGAATTGCAGGCACATCAGGGTCTGCTGGCTTCCCCATGCCCCCTTCCCCGTCGCTGCTTAAGCAGGGATCCCTTCCTCCTCTCTGCCATAGCATAGACCATACCCAGCATGTGGTATGCTAGCTAATGCTGTGTAAGGCTCCAGCAGAGACTACAAACACAGCAGGGTCTGCTTGGCTTCCCCCTGCCCTACCCCACCCTCACTGCTCAAGCAGGAAATCTTCCCTATCTCCCACAGCACAGACCCCAGTCCCACAGACCCTATGTATGTGGTATGCCGGGGGGGGGGTCCAATTTCACTGGGAGAGGCAGACAGAACAGTGACTGCTTAGGGCTGTTTGGAGCTAATCAACAGGTCAGCAATTGCTGCTTAAGAAGTTTGAAGTAATAGAGAGAGGCCATTGTTTTGTCAAGCAGATGATAAAGACCGTTATCACTATCAGCCCCCAGCTGGCTTGCTTGCCTGTCAGTTTGCTGCAGACAGTACAACAAAGCAGGGAGGGAGATTGAAAAGCTCCATATCATGAACAGATGCATGCATTGCACCCGTCCCTCCCCACCCCCTTTGCCTCAGAGTGCTAGCCTGGGGCTGGCAACACTCCCCACTGAGTGTCTTACCGGGGCCTGGCCACACCCCGCCTCAGCTTAGCTCCCTACAGAAGGGAAGGGAGGGCTACTCTAGCATCCCCCGGCTTCTAGCCTGCAGGCATGTGCCTGAATTTTGTCAGTTCAGAGAGAATGTCTCTCCGGTTTGAAACTAGTTCAGCCAAGCCATGTTAGACTAACCTGCAAAGACTGAACTAATTCAGGCTCAGGTTTTTTGAATGTCTGTCCCTAGCCTTAATGCTATTAAAACTCAAGTGGATATGAAACTCTCCAAGAAAACATATTCCAGAGAATACTAATCAACTGAAACTGAAAACATTTTACAAAGGCCATTCCAATTATGACAGAGCTTTAATAAAACCCATGTAGACAGATTCCTATCAGAACCTTAGTTTCCTTTGAGCTCACCCACTCAGCTCCTCAAGAGCTCACCTGATATTCTCATATGGAGTTACATGGTAGGCTTAAGTTCCAAACTCCTTAATGCCTCCACAGTTCCTAGGCTACATTGCACCAGGCAGCCTAACAGGCAATGAAGAGACAAGAAGCTATAGTTGTCAAATGTTGAGGCTCTTGGCACAGGATGTCGAGGAACCAAGGAGCACCAGTTCCCAACCCTGAAGCTCTTTCATAGTTGAAGGTCAAACATCTAGTTTGAGACAGCCAAGCAGAGACCATCAGCAGGCTAAGGCTCCTCTCCCTTTTATGGGAATTCTGAAAGTTTTTTTTCCCATTCCAAATTAAAACAAAACTATATTTCAAAATATCTCACTCCTCTCTGCAGTGGAATGACTTCATTCCTTGTCTCTCTAAGACAATGAAGCAAATATGCTTTTTACATGCAGGTTTAGTTCTGTAAAAGCTCTCTATTCATTTACTGACTGTTTAACATAAATAAGACAAAGTAGAAACTCTTAAAACAACTCTAAGCTTACACTATCCTTTAAGTTACAATTATAACAGGGAATTCAATATTCACATCCAATTCACAGGAAAACAAGTTGCCACAAGCTAACAGGAATAATACGTTGGGGGGGGATGGCAGCAAAGAATCTGTTTGTCCAACTCTATATTGACCAAGCTGCTTTTAGAACTGTTATTTTTGGGATTTTTTTAAAACCAAAAGAAAATTATGGATATATTTAATATATTATATAATATTACAGGATTTAAAATTTACAATATAAAGGAAACGGGTCTCCAGATTTCAAACAAGATCTAGGCAACTGAGGAAGAATGAAGGGAAGAGATATAGATTATGTTCATCAGCCAGTCCCATTTACTCTTATAGTTCACAGCAGGCAACCCTCAATTAATAGACTCTACGGTTTATAAAATAACGAGACAAAATTAATCCAAAACTCAAATTACTATTTTTTTTTAGTTTGTATTAGCTTTACTATGATCTAACATCTTTCATCATTTTAGATTTGTTCTGCAAACATGCTTTTGTTTTTCAGGATTACTCGAGTTAAAATCCAGATACATTTGGACGCAACTGGTACAAACAACACCTGGCCTGAATGTTCATCAAGTTCGTTATTACTTTATGGCAATGTGGAGGAAGAAATTAAAACCGATAGCCAGCAGTGAAAATATCACCTTTTTCTGTAGTGCAAGTCTTCATTTTACAAGTTAGGCAATTCACTCACCCCTCTCCATTTTCAAAACCAACATCAAATTACCAAGCTACAATCTACATTCACAGCTAAACCTACAAAGTAGCAAAAGTCGAAATAATTGTTTTGGATGTTAAGCTATGGTTACAATTTACATCTGTAATTCCTACAATTAAAAATAAGGTCAGAGTGTTATCGCAGCCATGATGGCCCAGGATATTTACAAGAGGAAATGTGTTTTGTTTTGTTATTTGTGTATGCAATACCTTTTATTTGGTCCGGGATATTTACAATAGGAAAGGGTTTTTTGTTTTATTTTGTTTTGTTTTTTGTGGTACCTTTTACTGGCAGAGAGCTGGCGGAGACGTCTTTGACAAGATTTCAGGTATGCACTGCCCCTCCAGATCTAGGGAAGCTTTTGGATGTACACTATCCTTGCTCAGATCTGGAAGGGCAGTGCATACCCAAAAAGCTTATCAAACCTCTGTCTCAACTGTATGGTTGGTCCAGTAAAAGATATCATAAAAACACCTTGCCTCTTGCATAATTTAAATCTCAGAGAAATGTAATTTTTTGGTCTATTTACTGGATTCATTTGACTACAAAGTGTGCCTCATCTTTTATACCACAAAAGTCAGTAAGTTCTTCATATGGAGTGTTTTTACATTAAGGAGGAAGGAAAATCATCTTGAATTAAAAAAAAAAAAATTTACAACATCTCAAAAATTGACTGGAGGCTGGAGGGCAAGTGGCCCAGCATTTAACACAAAAAAATTAAACTCTTAAAAATATAACTACTGTTCAAGTTGAAAGCAGCTCTTTAAATATATTAACACAAGCACATATTCTTAAATGACTGTTCTAGACAGGAGTCATCAGACATTAAATTCACTGGACATTAAAGTCCACAGCAATAACTATATGGCAATTGATTTGAGGTGTTTTGGCCAAACATCTAGAGAAATATGATACTATTATACAAATAAATCTGTTCATATTGTAATTCTACAATAATATGTTCAGATACATTTAGACTGCCTCCTTCCAGCATCCACTGGGTTCACGGATGATAAGACCAAAACAAAGACTGACTGGACCAAGCCTTAATCCAGCAATTTTCTACAAATCGCACACTAAGCACCTACTTGGCATTTCATAAACAGCGATGACAGCGAAAATGTAAAAAAAGGGAATAAACTTCCAATAGTAAATATTTATTCAGAACAAAGGTAGCTGACTAGAACCACATAACAAAGACCAGCAATATTCTGCATATACACACCTAATGTTTAAAATCCAAGGTTTCTAATAAAAAGCATACAGATACCTCATTGCCACCAAAGTCAAAAGGACAAACATCTAAAGAAACATCTATTCTTACTTAGATGATATAAGAAAAGCAAAGAGCTGCTATAAAAGGGAATTCTTCTCACTACTCTGTGGGTACACATTTAGACTGCAAAATATGACTATCTAAGCGTTTTACCCAAAATGTCTTACCCAAAGAGCTTTACTGGCTCTTCAATGAGCTTTCAAACCAGTACAATGTTGGCACCGAGCTCCAATAGGAGCCAGTTTAATTACATGGAAAATGATACCATTAAAACAAAAGTCCCTATCCATGATGTGCTGAACTTGGGGGGGGGGGGGGGGGGGGAGAGAGAAAGAAAGAAAAAATCACTGTGCAAAACAACTAACTAGCTCTTAGTAGCAAGCAGTATTAAAACGTCATATTCAAACAGGGAAAACGAGGAATACATCTACCAGAAAGCTTTTGTTGCCTCAAACACAATGTAGCCAAGCCTGCTACCTGCAGAACAGCTTCCCCCCACCCCCACCCCGTCTGATAAGGGCTGAAGAGTAAAAGCCTTTCCACCGAGACAGCAAGACAACACCACCCTGACAGCAGGGGCCAAGCACAGCAGAGTGCGGGGGCCACGGGAGCGGTGCCCACGCTCGCAAAGCCCCGCGCAGCCCCCAGCGCTGCCGCTCGGAGGCACACGCCTCTCCCTGCCCCGCGCGGAGGGGGCTGCCGCGCGCTCAGACTTTTGTTCCCAGGACACTCTGGTTTCCCGGCAGCGCCACCCCCAAGGGGCCGCGGGCGAAGCCCAGGCCTGCCCCGCGGGAGGCCCGTGCAGCACCAAGGAGAGCAGGGGGAGCGCCGCTACCTGCAGGTCGAGCGGCTCGGGGTTGAAGGCGAGCGTGAGCAGCAGCTGCATGCGCTCCGCGTCCTTGAGGTTGCGCAGCAGGAAGCTGCCCGAGTCCTTGGTCTCGGCGTAGCGGCGGACCCGGCGGGCGAGGCGGCGCCGCCGGGGGCACGGCGCCCCG